TTCCTTGTATGTCTGGTGCATGTGAAGAATTGACATTAAAGCTGACTTTGACTTTGACTTTGACTTTTTTTCCTCTGTTACATTTGCGGAAATGGATAAGAGTGTGTACCATCATGTCATTTGTCTAGCACTTACCTGCTGTTTCATTTAAGAAAGAAAAGAGTGACTTCCTGGCGACTCTTACTTCCTCTCTTTCTGTTCCCAGAATTCCCATCAGGTTCCACTCCCGTCCCCTCTTCGACTTTGTAATATGAGATTTTTACCATTTCTCTCTCCATCGTTCCCACATTCATCACTAACAATCCTTTAGCATTCTTGGATAACGGGACAGGGAACCCCCAGAGACCCAGATAACTGCCAGTGAAATAAGATGCGATAAAATGTCTGTTTAATGAAGATAAACATATAAAGATCAAATATATGTTGACCTGGAATATGTGGGAGTTGAGCACATGTTTCTATTACTTTGGTTCCATAAAGCAGCTTTAGTGAGTTTTAACTGACTGTTAGTCACTGTTTCTGTATCTGATTGTATCAAACAAAAATACAAATTTAAACCTATTATTTAATGTGCATTTTATAATTCTGAAGAGACTAAAATCATTTATTTTAACTGCACATACAGTACAAACAATACATACTCGGCTTTGTCTCAACCCTAGTTGACTGTTCTTCTGGAGTTTCAGGAATCAGGGCATCATTACTAAAACTTCTTTCTGAGTCACCTGAGGATCAAACCGACAACCTCAAAAGCTTCTGAAGAGCAAATAAAACACAGTTTGAGACAAAGGATCTTTCTTTACTGACATCAACATACAGTGTTCATTTAACAGTGACATAACAAAAAGGAAAGCAAAATGTATAGTGTTTGTTACAACACAGCAGATGCCTGTTATAGACACAGTAGTTGGTATGTTTAACAATGACAAAATGTATTTTTGACAACAAATAAATGCAAAAATTACAATGTCGGATGGTATAAATATTATATTTTTGAATTTGGGCGGACCAACAGGTTTTTTTCAGGACTAATTCTGATACTGATTATGATGTAAACTTAATTCTCACTTTAAACTGCTGGAAACCAGCTGTGGTGCAGTATTAAGATCATATCTTGAGTGTACTGAATTTATTATAACTCTCCTCGTTATCTGTTAATGTGCTTCAGTTACTCCCTGAAGACGCTAATAATTTCACTCTAATTGTGTTTGGATATTAGTGCTGGTGTTTGTGAACTGGACTTTTATTTGCATAGAAAGGGTGAAATATTTGCATATTTCCTCATTCAAATGCACAACTGTTAAATGTTTTTATTTGCTTTGTTTTTTAAAGTTCATTAACAGGAACAAATGAGTAAATAAAGGTTTACTAATGAGTCATTGTTGTTGATTTATGATATTAATTTATTGTAAAGTTTTTGTAAACTATTAAATGCTTTAATGAGTCAATTTACCATTTGTAAACATAAATAGTTATAGAACAATATGTCATCTCATCATCTGTAGCATTAATTGCACATGATTTAACTGTAAACAATCTTTATGTATGTAAGTTGAACAAACTGAACCGAAAATCAGCAGTTTAAATTTTTGTTCATTGATTAATTTAATACAGTAACTTAAATATTTATGTAACTGTGACCCCGTACAGACTGAACTGATCTCTTCAGCAGTGAGAATGTTTCTCTAACAGGAGGAGACTCTCCCTCCTACAGAGGACACAGAGACACTGAGGAACCAGACCAGAACCAGAACCCAACTCCAAACCCAAATCCAGGATAAAGAGGTTCAGTGAATGTGGTGTTGAAGGTGTGGAGGTGGATCAGTGTGTCAGAGGAGACTGTGTAGAAGGACAGAGTGCCAGCAGGACAGTCCACATACACTGCTACTCTTTACCAGAGGGAGGAGGGAGGAGGAGGGAAGGGAGGAGGAGATTCTTTCTTTCTGGTTTT